AGGGACCCAAGGAGACACACACACACAACATACCAACACCACACACACAGACCAACACCACAAACACACACACACGCACACACAGACACACACACACACACACACACACACACACACGCACGCACGCACGCACGCACGCACGCACGCACGCACGCACACACACACACACACCACACACCACACACCACACAAACACAGACACAGACACACAGACACCGACACACACACAGACACATACACACCACTGCCCACATGTCCGCAGTTTCCGGGGAATGGACGATGAATCGCGTCTGTATTTCTTCCCCTTCTGATTCTCATCCTGAGGTGGGGGGCAAAGATGCGGGGGGGACCGGCTCGAGGTGGGGGGGGGGCACATCGACATGACATCGGCGATGCCGCGCGGACAAACTGGCAAAAAGACGGCCGACGGCAGAATCCCACGATCCTTGGCGGGGTGGGCTATCGGGCCTCCATTGGCGATGAGTGGGCGATTGGAGGAGGAGGACGACGACGAGGAGGAGAATAGGAAGGGGGAGGAGGGAGGAGAAGGAGGAGGAGGAGGAGGAGGAGGAGGAGGAGGAGAAGGAAGAGGACGAATGTGTCCCGAGAGGCCGCCTGAGCCGATCCCCCCTGAGCAATCCTCGTCGTCTGGCTTCCGGATCAACTCGCGCTCTCGCGCAGCCCCCTCAGGGGAGAAGACGAGGACGAGGTGGCATCAGAGCCGAGCCACGAAGCGCGAGTAGCTTCGCGCCCTCGAGCGCGCCCCTGTCCATGCTTGGCGGCGAGTAAAGGGGGGCAACCTCTCAGAATCCCTCGCACCTTCTGAGCGGATGCTTCTGTCTCCGGGGAGGGCTTCGAAAACCTCTCAGAAGGCCGGGGGACTTCCGAGCCTTCTGAGAAGCCTGGCCCCCTCTGCCGGCGGTTTTCGGGTCATAACTCGGGCCTCTGGCGGCCGTTCCAGGACGATCCCTGGAGGAGGAGGCGGAGGCGGAGGAGGAGGAGGAGGAGGAGGAGGAGGAGGGCATCCCTGGAAAGGAGGAGGAGGAGGAGGAGGAGGAGGAGAAGGAGGAGGAGCAGGATGAGGATGAGGATGATGATGATGAGGAGGAGGAGGAGGAGGAGGAGGAGGAGGAGGAGGAGGAGGAGGAGCATCCCTGGAACGCCCTCGACGGGGCGCGGCGGCTGGATAGCATCCCGCAGCTGGGAGACCGCTGAGAACCGACGAGAGAACAGTTGAAGGCCCGTCCTTTTTCTCGGCGGCGCGCACAAGGAGGTGGAGGGAGGGGGGAAGGCTTCTTAGAAGGAGGCTGCTTCTTAGAAGGCGCCGGCCTTACATCTATAGATATGGCCCGCGCCTTCTAAGTGAACAAACCTCCCTTTAGTAAACGTCCCCTTAGTGAAAACGGCCTGGGACCGAAACCGACGGACCTGGACCCGCAAAAATGACGGCCGCGACGCCCTCTCGCGAACCGAAAACGGCCAATTCCTTAATCGACGTGTCAGGGTAGGAAGTGTATCAACCTCCGATTCTCACTTCCCCCACTTCCTCGCCGCCGACATTCTCATGCATATGCTCTGGTCCTCGATTCGTGGAGGCCCCCGGCGGCCCGACGGCGTGCGCATCGGCACCCGCGGGCCCGCCGGGCCCTCGGGGGGGCTCCCCTCCGCGGCCTGCCCAGGGCGGCGCCGGCGGCTGCCTGTGCCCGGCGGCGTGCCTCGATTGGCCCTCTCGCCGGCGGCGCCACGAGCCTCCGCACCTCCGCCCACCTCCTCCGCCTCCAACTCCGCCTCCGCCTCCGCCTCCTCCTCCTCCTCCTCCTCCTCCGCCGTCTCCTCCTCCACCTCCTTCTCCTCCTCCTCCTCCTCCTCCTCCTCCTCCTCCTCCTCCTCCTCCTCCGCCGCCTGCTCCTCCGCCGCCTCCGCCTCGGCCTCCTCCACCGCCTCCGCCGCCTCCTCATCCTCCATCTCCGCCTCCTCCTCCGCCTCCTCAGCCCCCTCCTTCTCCTCCTCCTCTCCTCCTCCGCCTTCCCCTCCTCCGCCTCATCCGCCTTCTCCCCCTCCCCCTCCGTACAAGCAAACGCACCGGCACCGCGCTGCACTGCTCAGAGAGAGAGGCCTCCAAATTGAGGAGGTCTGGGCAGCTGGGGTCGGAAGATCTACCCGCATCGCCGATGCGTCGGCGATACGTCGCCGCCGCATCGGCGATGCGTGGGTGAGGTCGACGTTGCATCGGTGCCGACGGTGTGGAGAAAATCAGGCTCCTCCTCGAGTCGGATCGGCGATGCATCGGCGATGCGGCGCAGATCGTCCTACCCCATCTGCTCGGAACCTCTCTGGGACTCTGGGAGGTCCAGACAGATCACAGGAGGGCCCCTTGAGACAACGCAGGTTGGCCTACGGGGGGGGGGGGGCCCGACCACAAGAAACCTTCCACCAGAAGCCCAACCCCGAGACCCCAGGGCGTCCATTGACTTTGGCTCTGGGACTAAAGCCGCGCCCTCCTTCGCAAAGCCAGCGACACCCGAGACGCCCAGGGCACCCTGGAGGCAAGCAGGGTGCTGCTTGGCACGGGCCTCCCCTGTGCGGAGGGGGGCCCCTCGCGCCTCCACACCTGGACGCAGCTCGCACACACCCTGGCGCGCCTGCACTCCGGCAGGGCTCCCGCGACCGTCTTGGGGCCGCCGCCGTGCCTCGACCCGCCCTGCCCCGAGCTGCGCCCCCGGCCGGCCGCCGACGCGACTCTTGCTTTCGAGGCGGGGGTTTGCAGGAGAGGGCCCTGCAGGGGCCCCTGCTGGCTCCCAAAGGGGCCCTGCAGCCCCGAGAGGCTCCTCGGAGCCATGTGCTTCACCCCCCCCAGGTGGGTCACCCCCCGCCCACCATCCGCCCGAATCTTCCCATACACGAGCACGTTTTCAGGACGAAAGACCTGACCAAAAAATGCAATCCTGAGTGCAGCGCGGTGGGTCCCGACCGCTTTCGATGCCTCTTGGGACCACGAGACGCGTAAGAGGTGTGCCAGAACGGGTGCGATGGTGCCATGCGGGCGCTGCCACTGGGGGCTTCGGTGGAGCTCGTGTGCCGAAGCGGGTGCGGTGGTGCCATGCTAGCGCTGCCACTGGGGCCTTCGGTGGAGCTCCCTATGGTGGCGCGACGCGTGTGAGGGGTGTGCCGAAACGGGCGCGATGGTGTCATGCGGGCGCTGCCACTGGGGCCTTCGGTGGAGCTCTTTATGGGGACACGAAGCGTGTGAGGCGTGTACCAGCAGAGACACGCGGAAGGCAGAGGCACGGATTGGAGGAGGGAGGAGGAGCTTCGGGAGGAAGAGGAGATGGGAGGGGCGCGGGACGTTGTCTTTTCAAAACGAGGGCCCAACACCGCATGAAGGTTGGGAAAAATTGCATGCACCAACTTTCTACGGTTCGCGCGGAGATTTAGGATCCGCGCTGGAGCCCCCTGGCGGCGCCTCCGGCGCCGCCCCTGGCGCGCTCCTCGCGCCAGGCAGGGGTGTGCAGCGCAAATCCAAGAAATTCGGGCGGACCGTCGAAAGACTATGTGTAGTTGTGCGCGTCAGAAGGGCAGAGATTGCCTCTCTTTAGGACCCTCCTTAGGGGCGATTGTCGGGTGTGGGTGCCGAGTGTGGGTGCCGAGTGTCGTTGCTGATTGTCGGTGCCGAGTGTCATTGCCGAGTGTCGATGCCGAGTGTCGGCGCCGAGTGTCGGCGCCGATCGTCGTTGACGCGGGGGGTCTCTAAAAAGCTGTCCCCCGCACACATTCACACACAAACACATTCACACACACAAACACATTCACACACAAACACATTCACACACACACACAAACACATTCACACACACACACGCCCTACACACACAAATCATACGGTTGCTCCCTCCATCCCCGTCCCGGCGCTCTTCTCCTCGGGTCCGCCCCCCAGCCGTGCTCGTGCCGGGGGGGGCATCGAGTCCAGGGCGAAGCAAAAGGGGGCCCCAGGGAAGGGGTCGGCTCAAAGAAGGGGCCCGGGGACTCACAGAGAACGAGGTACATCCCTGGATGCCCCGTCTTCTCCAGATTCTCTGGACATTCGTCTTCCCCTCCGCTTCTCAGGATTTTCCGACATGGTTCCGGGGGAATCGGCGATGACGTTTCGTGTCTGTGTGTTTCTTTCTCTCGTGGTGTGAGTCATCCTCCACTACTAGGGACAAGGAGTAACGCTATAAACCTAAACTGTTGGCGCTCCGCGCGGCTTTCCTGAATCTGCGCGGGACCCCCCTCCCTGGCGCGCGGAGCGCGCCAGGGGCGGCGCCTCGGGCCCCAGCTCGGATCCAAGACACCCGCGCAGAGCTCCGAACGTTTATATTCATAGCGTTTTTTTCTTTTCCGATTCATAGGAAGAGGCTGCCTCTCAGGTTTGCTTCCGACTGTTCCGGGGAATCGACGATGACGTTTTGTGCATGTGTGCTTCTTTCCCTCCTGATGTCAGTCATGCCCCACGACAACCCTGAGGGGCAACGACAAAGGGGGGGGGGACTGGCATGGGGGGGATGCATCGACCTGGAATCGGCGATACATCGCCGATAGATCGGCGATGGGCCCCTGATAGTGAGCCCGCACCTTCCTGGGCAGATTGAGGCTACCGGGCCCCTCTCGGCGATCCATGGGCGACTGGGCGTCGGCGCACCCCTTTCTGTGCCCATCCCCCCTCTCGTTGCCCCCGATGGCCCCTTTCTTCTATGCCTATCTTTGGCGGCGCGCACATGGGGGTGGGGGGAGGGGGGAGGGCTTCTTAGAAGCAGGCTGCTTCTTAGAAGGCGCCGGCCTTACATCTATGGAGAAGGCCCGCGCCCTCTAAGAAGCAGGGGTGCTTCTGAGAAGCCCTCCCCCCTCCCCCCACCCCCCTCTGCGCGTGGCTGATACCTATCGTCGCCCCCTTTCTGTGCCTATCCCCGCCGACGGACGACGTGCCCTCGGAGGCCCGGGCCGCTCGCGAGGGGGCGGCCGCCTCAGGGCGACGCGTGGTAGTAGTGGTGGTGCGGCCCGCGCGGCGGCGGGGAGGCTCGGCGGCGCGCGCCAAGGGGGGCGGGGGGGGGGGGCCGACGGGGGGAGGGAAGTCGAGCAGGGGCCGACCGTCCCGGCATTGCTACAGTCAAAACGTATGTAAAGGACGCGTGGCAAGGACGAAAAGACCCTTGGAGGCTGAAGGTGGGATTTTTTTTGGCGGCGGCGACCAGTGAAAACGGCAAAGGACGGGCCACAGAGGCAAGGACGCAAGGGTACCCTAAATGAAAACGCGCGTCCTTACTAGGCGCGCCAACTGTGTAGGCCTACAATGACATGTTCTGAGAACCCAAACCTGTTCTAAGAACAAACACAACGCTCTCAGAAGGTACTCCCGATGCGGAAGAACAAAACAGACTCAGCCAGAAATGTTCTGAGAACAGCTCATGCAAACCGCCGAGGGTTCTTAGAACCCTCTCTGGTAGGCGAGCCAGGACGCATCGCCACTGCTTAAGGAAACTGCGTCCTCGGAAGGCAGCCGGGGCCTCCACGAAGCCCTTGCGCTTCCTGTAAAGTCAGAACGGGGCCCAGGGGCACACGACCAAGCAGGCACAGATCCCAGGAGTCCCGCTGTGTCCCAGACTTTCGGGGTGTGCGTCTTCCCCCCCGCTTCCTGTATTTTCCCACATCTTCCTGGGAGTCGTCGGTTCATTGTGTCTGTGGTTTTCTTTCCCGCCTGCGAAGTGTTATGTGCCTTCGCGTGGTGGCGTGCACCTGGGGGGAAGAGGGAGGGGGGGAGGCTTCCTAGGAGGAGGCTGCTCCTCAGAAGGCGCCGGCCTTACATCCATGGAAGAAGACCCCGCGCCCTCTGAGAGGCAGCCTCCTTCCAAGAAGCCTTCCTCCCTCCCCGATAATGTACCCCTTCTCTGCGCGCGGCCGACCCGCGGGGGGGCGCAGGCAGACTTCTCAACGGCCCCATGCCGCCCGAGACCTCTTCTGCTTGTGGCCTCCAGGTTGCAACGACGCTGCGGGCACCTCCGGAGGACCCCCCCCCCCTCCCAGGGCCGCAGCTGCTGGAGAGCCTCCCGACGCTGGCAAACAACACCGCCGAGGAGCGACCCACGGAAACCTGGGAAGGCTCCTCGAGCCCCGAGCCTCGCGCCCAAACTGCCCCTCCCCCCCCTTGTGATGGGCCTGCTCTTCACCACCACCACCACCACCACCATAACTTGGAGGGGAGGGAGTCCTCCTCCTCCTCCTCCTGCACCTCCTCCTCCTCCTCCTCGTCCTCCTCCCCTTCCACCTCCTCCTCGTCATCCCCCCCCCTCTCCCTCCCTCCAACTCCTGGTGGTGGTGGTGGACCACAGGCCCCTCCCCCCCGTGGGGCTCGCCGCCGAGGAGGCGGGCGTGGGCGGCGAGGTGTGGTAGCCCCGCTGGCCGCGCGGGGGCGGGGAGCCGGGCGCGTGCGCCGCGCGCGCCGCGGCGCGGCGCGGGGCCCCGCCGGGCAGGGAGGCGGCGCTCCGCACCCCGGGCACGGAGGCGAAGCTGCGGACCGTGGCGAGCTCGCTGCCTTGGCCCGAGGGTCGGCTCGGGTGAAAGGGGGGGATAGCAAAGGGGGGGGGGGGTGAGAATCAGCTCACGCAGCTGATGCTCCCGGCGCCTCCCGGCGCCGGAGGCGGCTGCTGTATCGAGGAATGGGCCCCTCGGTGAGGCCGAAACCAGCCGCATGCAGCAAATTTCGTAAACCCCCTTTCCCAATCCCCCCCTTTCGCCCGGCCCGAGAGGGGGGAGGGGGGGGCGGCGCGGCGGCGCGCGGAGGGGAGGCCAAGGGGGGACGGAGGGGCTTTTTCAGGGCCGCGTGCACCAGGGGGGGGGGGTGCAGTGGAGGCCAGTCCGCGAGAAGCCTTCCACGAGGAGCCCAAGCCTGAGGCCCCAGGGCGATAATTGATTTCTGCTGTGGGAGCGTCACGCGTTCCATCGCAAAACCACCGAAGCCGAACAAACCCAGGGCACCCTGGAGGCAAGCAGGGTGTTTCTTGGCATGGGAGGACGAGGAGGAGGACAAGGAGGCGACCCGTAGGAAGCGCAGAGTTCATTGCCAGGCACAAGCTTTAGAGGGAGGTTGCGCGGGAGCCTTTGAGAGGAGCTCACCTACCCTGCGCTGCCAGCTTCTCATCTGACCCTTCTCAGAGAGCTACCCGGGATTGTTGTCCCTACCTGTTGTGAGTTGCGAGGCGCTCGCCTATCTTAGCTTGGTGTGCGCAGCTGCAGTACTACAATTCAGCAACGTAGAGGAAACAACGTCGTATCGACAGCATGTCTGGCATACGCTTAGTTCACAAGGCTGGATTCAAAGCCTCATGGACAGGGTCCGGGCAAGTGCGGTCGGAGGATCGCGCACCTAGCCGCCCCTTTCGGCAACGCGGCTCGACGTGGAGCCCAATCTCCTCCACGCCGATGTCGCCGATGCATCGCAAGCGTCGCCGACGCCGCGCTACCCAATCTACTTCGACCCCATGCAGGAGGCCTGGAGAGAGGCAAGAGAAGGGGGAGGCACGGGAACGGGCGCAACAACAAGGTTCGGTAGCAATTCATGTAGCCTCCCATGCCATCGTGTCGGCTCTTGCGAATCGACGCTAGTCGACGCTACATCGATGCTAGTCGACGCAACATCGACACTCATTGACGCAAGATCGACGCTACTCAACGCTAGCCGACGCTAGATCGGGGCTATCTCATCGACTCCCAAACGCGCTAATCGACGCTAGTCGACGCTAAGGACGGAACTGAAAGGGTATACCATAATCCCATGGTTTGCCACCGAGGCACGGGCGCAATAGCGACAAACTAGTTTGGAGGCTTGAAAATGCGCACCAACACCAACACGGGAGGCCACTTCCATGAATGGAAGATGACTCTAGATGTTCTGGTGCTGGTTGTTATATATTCCAGGTCACCCAGGAGCCCGAATCTCACCACCATCGCCGGGGTCGGGATCCTCTTGCCCCGCTGAAGGCACACCAGGCGATATCGGTGCTGGTGTCATCTCCCAAGCCTCCGACTCTACGCACGGAAGACGCCCGGAGAGCTCCGAACGGAGTTCCTCGGCCGGCGCTGGGCACACCCCCTCCCCGGGGCGCGCGCGAGGCGCGCGCCAGGCAAGGGTGCCGCCAGAGAGGGGGCGCCGACAGGGGGGGGCCGAGCGCCAGCCAGAGAAGTCCGCGCGGACCCTCGAACGATGGTGTAAGGAGGCAACTGCCGGGAGGCAGTCGTCGGAAGGACTAAAAAAGAGGAGGTGCAGCCCCATGTGGGAAAAGGGGTGCCACGCCCGATCAAGCCACGGATTGAGCGGGATCAGGCCGGATTGCGCGGGATCTGGGGGGATTAAACGGGATCGAGCCGGAGTAAAACCGATATTCGGACCACGGCAACGTCAGAATTTGCCCCCTCAGGAGATGCATTCGAGATTGTGTACGTCGTTCTTTTGGGCGGGGGCCGACCGTCCCGGCATTCATCCTACAGGCCTACCACGGAATGTTCCTAGAACAGAGCAACGTTCGAATCCCGAAACAGTTGTCGTATAACACTGAGCCGGTGTGCTAACACAGGACAGTCTCAACCAGAAACCTTCTAAGAGCATTTCGGGCAAACCACGCAATGTTCTTAGAACATTGTTTGGGGTGGCCTCTTTCTTTCTTCTCCAAAAAAATTTGGTCGGGCGTGGCCTCCTAAAGGCAGATCTTGAAAGAACAATGCATGTAGTCACAACGTATTCAAAAACAGTTGAAACAAGTACAATGATGTCCCCGTACAATTTGTCTGACTATGTTTGAATACTCCTCCTGTAGAGGGACACGTCCAACTTGAAGGAAGACGGGCGGGGCCGCCTGAGGCATAGTGCCGCGGGGCGTGCGGCAGCTGCCCCGGCGAGCCGCTGGAGAGCCGCTGGGGAGCCAGGGCGTACTGCGAGGACGCCGCCGAATGCATGCTGCAGCGGCTCCCCTGCAGACTCACCCGGCTCGGAGACAGGATGAGCATCGACTGGCGGGGCCGGGGGGGGGTCATCCTTTTTGGGGAGGAGGAGGATTAGGAGGGGGAGGGGAAAGGGGTGAGGAGGAGGAGGAGGAGGAGGACGAGGAGGAGGAGGAAGAGGAGGAGGAGGAGGAGGAGGAGGGGGAGGAGAAGGAGGAGGAGGAGGACAAAGGGCATCCGCATAAGGGGGTAGAACGTCAGAGCGTCTACTCAGGCAACCTGCGCGCTACTGCCAAAATCCCGCGCGACTGTTGTGCTACAGCCCTGTCTTCTCACGAGGGCCGTCAAGGGGCAGGCCACTTATAGCTCAAGGGCCGAGCTCCGAAGCGGCCCCGCGAGTGCCTTCGGGTCAGCGCGGGGTGAGCGGCTGCTGGCCCTTCCGCGTGCCTGAGGGGAGGGCGCGCGGGCTTAGCAGGGCGCCCAAACCAATGGGGGGGGAGGAGACGACGACACGGCCTCAAACAGAAAAGAGGAGGGGGAGAGACGGAAGGCCCGAGACCCCAGTATGTTGCTGGGGGGACTGCTCAATCTACAGTTTGAACTCCGCGATCCCTTCTCTCGCTCAGCTCACTTCTCGCTCGGTCGTACCGAGAAACGTTCCATGGATTGTAACACCTGTACTCTGGTACCCTGTTGACGTAGCCCAAGGTTCCCCCTCAAAGTGTATCTGAGGTAGACAAGCTGGAAGTCACGGTCATAGGTCTGGCCAGCGAGGAACACACTGGTGGTCTTCCTGATGATCACGTTTTTCCCCTTCGACACCCTTCAGTAGTGCACCTGACGGCACTCAAGAAAATACTTCTCATTGCGATGGCGACGCAGGCGCTCTGTTGCGACCATATTGTATGTCATGCGTTACGCACCGAGTAACCTCGCTAATGCTCCTCCTGGCTCTGCGGGCACGGCCAGCTCGCCTCTTGCCTGGATTCGAACTCCGAGAAACCTCGCGACTGCTTCCTCTTCGCATATGAGCAGGCCCCACTGGGTGCCCTCACTGGTGGCCGCTGGACGAGCTGACCGCAGTCGTCTCCTCCGACTTGGGGTAGCCGAACTTGTCCGCGAAGATCTCGGTGCCATCCAGCATGGTCTGCGTGCTGTCTCGTAACTTCTAGCGTTCTTTCAGCCTCTTCACTTCCTGTGGGTCCACGTTGTCCTCTTTGTTCATCTCCTTGATGGCAACCTTCATTTTTGCGTGGAGCCCCCCCCCTCGTTCTTCCAATTTTCAGCGCCGGCGCGCGCCAGCTCTGAACAGTGAAGGCTCTCTTGCATGACCTCCCCAAGTGGTCCACTGGGTACCTTGCGACGTCGTCGCAACCTTCGATCATGTGCGTCATCGGAGAGGACCGCGGGATCAGCTCGGATAGCTCCTCTGGACTCATCTTCCTGGCCGTGTCGAAGAACTCGCAATGGCACTCCTTGATGGCGTCGTCAAGTTGCTGCGGTAGCCCTCTCGCAATGAAAGCTTGCCACGCGGTTCCCGCCATGAGCATCGCCCCCGCCGCTGGCCCGCTCTAGAAATGGAAGAACTTACTCCCGAGCCCGAACTTTAACCAAGCTTCGCAGTCTGCCCCGAACGTTTTCTTCATCTTGTTTATCCATTCCTTCAAGAGCACGTCGATTGGGTGACTCCCCCGCGCCTTCATCCACTGCAACTGGCCCACCTTGCGCCAGAACTGCCACTCGTCACTCCTCGAGTCGGGGCCGGGGCCTCTCCGCCGCAGCGCGTTCGGGAAGGCGAGCCCGCGCGAGCGAGTTCCCGCCCTCTTCTTGCCCCGTCCAGCGCTTCTCCAGCATGCGCTAAACCACTGCATGTCGTCGCGCCACTTGTTCCTTTCGCTTCTCTGTGGCGACCTTATATTTGTGTGTGCGAGACTTCTGGGGCCTCCTTCTGCTGCCAGTTGTGATCGAGCAGCTTTGATCTGTCCCAGCGCCCGGGTTGCCCGCGCTGCTTCTTCCGCCTTCCTCTTTTGTTCTCGGCAGACCTGCTCTCTCGCCATGACCCCCCCCCCCCCCATGCAATGCCCTTTCTTCGTCGCTCCAATGTTCCAGCTCCTCCCCGCCCAGCTCCAGCTCGCAATCGATGCGCGCTCTTCTCCATTCGCTGCCTTCGCTGCCTTGATCCTTCTCGTGACCTGGCTCGTTTCTCGCGCGCCCCCTGCGGCTTTCGCTCATCTTGTAGTACTTGAACCCCTTGTTGCGACGTCCACAGGGCTATAGTTTGTTGCTGGCCACGAAGGCCATGGCCCACGCGCGCCGCGCGCTCCGAGAAGCCCCGCTCGCGCGCCACGCCGCGCACCTAGGCCGGCACTGAGCCGGATCAGCCGCGGCAGCCAAGGGCGATCAATGGGGATAGTAGCGCATTCCAAACAGCCCACCTGTCCCGTTATACACGTTGCACCTCAGATATGCTGGCCCCATCTCCTCCCATTGACATAATGCCAAATCCCAAACTGCCCTGTTCACCTCGTAGCACCTCGTGCTCGCGC